AGCCGAGTGGCACTTTGGCCATTAGCTTAAGTGGTATTAGTTCATGTCACTCGCATTGATAATGTTATCATTCATCAGAAGGAAACTGTCAGAGTCGGATTCAGTAAGCGGTAGTAACACAACGCTTGCGAACGGCCAGGCAGTCGGTACTATAGATAATATTCTTGCACAGAAAACTAGCCAAATGTCCTTGAATAACGAAGCCATTCCCATTGGGGAGGATGCGTTGCTGCAGGAGTTGGGCTACAAAAATGCAACCGATCTCCAAGAAACCGTCTACGGTAAGTTTAACTAACATTTCGTTTTCTTCGCTAATAATTACTATATACATACAAATGTTTGCCACACAGATGCGCTTAGGACTATACGCGATCCTGAGAAACCTTGTACGCTAGAAGATTTGAATGTCGTCTATGAAGATGGAATAGTTGTGCAACCGTCAACGAAATCAAATGTTTCTGTGGTATGCTTAAATTTTTTCATCTGCATATCAATGGCTGAGTGGAAGATCAACCTATTTCGGCAACGCCCTACCTAAAAAAAAATTTTAACAAAGTCCTATTTCAGAATTTGTTTGAAGAACGGCCTCTTTTAGAATTTGATTGAAAAACGCCCTATCTCAGAATTCCGTTCAAAAACGTCCTATCTCAGTTGCCAGTTCAAAAACGCCCTATCTCAGCGCATTGTCAATGCCTTTTCGTTTGAGATAGGGCGTTCTTCAATAAAATTCTGAAACTTGCTTCAATCAAATTATGAAGAACGGCGTTCTTGAAAAGTTTTCTGGGATAGGGCGTTTTCGAACTGGCTGTCGAGATAGGTCGGTCTTGCACTCAGCCATCGATATGGCCATATGATACTGTATAAAGAACAAAACCCAAAAATTTAAATATGTAAATGTGTAAATACTGACTGCCTGACATTCCAAATTAGCAACGCAAATATTGCTGTTGGGATTTCATTTATGTACACATAAAGTGTACACATGTATGTACATTCACATACACCCTAGAATTGTAACTCTACTTTTACGAATCACATAGATAACCGCCATCCAAGAAATGCGATGGACGGGGCAAGGAAAAATAAGCGTGAAGTCTTGCGACGTCTACTACAGTTGCCATGTAAAGAAGCGCAAATTCGGTGTTGGATTCGTGGTAGGAGAGAGACTCCCTCGCCGAG